TAATCTTATCGTTCTTTAAGCTTCGTACCTATCCAATATTTTTATCGGCAGGATTATTGAAAATATCCAACATATTACCTCTATCGGGGTGCCCATCCCTCCCAAGGTCGATGGCGCATGAACTGGCCCCTCCCCTCTAAGAAATTTTATTGTTCCTATATTTTTTAAAAACAGTCCATGAAGAAGGAAAAAGTAGAATTAGAAAAATCATAGATCATATATTTACAAATAGATTTGCGGTGGTTTGTTCTCTGTTGTTCTCTGGATTGAAACTATTCAGTCCGAAAAATCTAACTCTGAAATTTGCCCCCTCAAAAATTCAAATCCCTGTAAAAATGTGCCTTCCTCATAAATTCAAATCCCCGTAAAAATATGTCCGAAAAAATTCCAATCTCCATAAAAATGTACCCTCCTCAAAAATATTGATGGTGCAAGATGTGCCCTGAAACCCCCTTCTGGACACCACATACTTATATTATTAAGACTATATCATTTAGTTTTTCTGGAATGTTCTGACTTTTTTCATGTAACTATAGTATCTTTTTCCATTTTCTTAAATGCAAATTTAAAAGCCATTGTCCCATCTAGTATATCAGAACTTATTATAAATTTGAATTGGTTAATCAATTTCAAGGATTCTTGGTTAGATATTTATACCATACGTATGTAATTGTTTTGACGGCATTTTCTTTATTTGATTTCTGCATACGCACGTCTTATTTTTTAAAACTATTAAATGATTATCATGTATAAACTAATGGGACAGAAGTTGGTAGAAGACTTGTAGCGATCCTACCCTAGGTTATATGTAGACTCGACCTTGACCCCGAGTTTAGTCCTCCATTGACCAACTTGAATGAGTGGGCTACGCGACGGGCTGCCTCTAGTATTTCACCCCACAACCATAATCGAACATGTTTCTAATTTTTTATTTATTATAAATTGTTTGTTGATCTTACTTTTTTTTTACTTATAAATTCAACTTCGAACGGAAACTATTCATTGATAAGCACTTTTCAATATACGATTTTTTAAATTATCCTGTTGTCAAATATATTCTGTTACCATTTAACTCATTTCTCACAATTTTAAAAGATATTGATAATTTAGAGGACATTTCAACACCAAAACCTCTTGGAATCATTTATTTGACACTTCCGTGGTTCGATTCGGCGTGAAGAAACGAATGTTTTTGACTAAATCATCGTAAAAAATTGAGCTATCCGGTGTTTAAATTTTTATTCTAAATTGTAAGTTGTACAGTGGAATTAAACGTTTTATTTTATGAATATAACAATGCGGATTTTAAATATTTACAAATTTGCCTTTAATTTATTCTTTTTAACTCTTCGACAGTCAATAGTTCTTCATTTTCACACTACGGAAGTTTATCTGCTAGCCCTGTAGCCAGGACCCAAAATCGAACTCGTCGCAGGCGAAGGTTTGATTGTAAATTACGAAAGTGTATGTTATTCTGAGTAAAAAGAATCTTGTCTGCCATTCCAGAGCCGCTGTTTTTAAAAATGACGGCTGAATTAAAGAATATTAGGCCAGTAATTTGAGGATCGAAACGGGAAATCCATAGCGAAAAACGTGAGAAATGTTTTTATTTTTTAACTTGTATATATGGTTTCAGACATGTAAAAAAGAAAATTATTAATGCGGACCATCAAGGGAAAACTCTTTACAGTCAAAAAAGTCAGATTTTGTCGATATGTTTTTGTTTTTTCACCTATAACTCCTAAACGATGCATCAAAGCGAAAAATGTACTCCCTAATAAATTAAAGAACGTTAAATTGTAAGGTCGAACGGGTACAAAAAGTTTATAATTTGGTTATGTGGCAACCAACGCTGATTTTTACCAAATTTGTCAAAAACTAACCAAATAACTATAAATGGCCCTGCAACATGGAAATGAGTCCCTTAAGAGGAAAAACCCGTAGAATCAAAGCTATAGAGCATCAAAGTTTGCGTCCAGTTACATTTTACATTCCTGTTACATTTTTCGCATCGTTTAGGAGTTATAGGTGAAAAATCTGACTTTTTTGGCTGTAAGAAGTTTTCCTTTGGTGGTCCGCGTTAGCAATTTTGTTTTTTACATGCGTAAACCCATATATATATTTTTTATTATTAATTATGAAATTTACAACTGTACATTTAATATACATTCAGCAAATGCGATATAGATAAATACATGACATGACAAGGCTTGTAGAGAATCTGCCCATCGGTAGCACTCTCTCTCTCTCTCTCTCTCTCTCTCTATATATATATATATATATATATATATATATAAGTTAAAAAAATAAAAACTTTTTCCAAATTTTTCGCAATTGATTTCTTATTTCGATCCTCAAATTACTGGTCTAATATTCTTTAAATCGGCCGCCATTTTTCAAAACAGCGGTTCTGTAACAGCAGACCAGATTTTTTTTACTCAGAACAACATACACTTTCGTAATTTACAATCAAACCTTCGCCTGCGATGAGGTCAATTTCTGTGACCTGGCTCCAGGGCTAGTAGGCTCATGCAACAGAGAATGACTATCATATAAACATGCTAACAGAAAACTATCTGTGATTTCTGCCCAGGACGATCTCTAGCGGGTTGCTTGCTACCTATCCGTACAAAAAGTTCGCAGATCGCCACGAAAGTTTTAATCTCGCTTTAATTCCTGTTGATTTTTTTTTCAGTTATTTTATATATCAAATGTTGATTATATATCTGTCTGTACAGGGTATCCTGTAAGTAGAGGGGAATATTTATAGAAGTGGTAGCAGACCTCAAGTACTATAAAAAAGTTTATATAAACAATGACCCTATTTTCAGCAGAAAAGTAGGAAATTTAAGTTTAGTGTGTGTTATTTTTTAATAAGTTACGCTTTTTATTGAATAGAAATCTATAACTAAAAAAATACTTAACTGAAGTAATTTTAGATGGTAAAAATACCATATCAATGCTCAACTCGGTATAATGGAATCGGAAGATTATCCTCAAAACAAAACAAAAAAGATCTACAATAGTATAGTACTGAGCATTATGACATATGGGTCAGAAACTTGGACCATAAAAGGCAACCTCAGGAAGAAACTTCTGCCATCGAAATGGACTACTGGAGACTAGCGGCGGCAATATCCAGAATGGATAAAGTCGGAAATACGACCATCAGAGAAAGGATGGAGGCTAAAAGAACCATTCTGGAAGAGATTGAGATAAAACGTCTGAAGTGATATGGATATTTGAAAAGAATGCCTGAAGGATGACTACCCAAAGAAGTCAACTTATGGAAAACTAGGGAAAGAAGAAGACGAGAAAGACCTAGGATAACGAAATGGAGGAATCCATGATGGGTATGCGAAAAGAATGGACCTTAGATAGGACATTATGGAAAGAAGCCACCCAAGCACTTTAGGTTAAGGAAACCCACTATTAGTGGAAACTCCTATAAAAAAAAATAAATAAATTGCTTCATAGTAAACTAAACAAAAAATGCTTTAAACGAAAACAAGTTTTTCATTGTTAAAACCATTTAAAGATGACTTTTAATTGATTAAACTAAGTTTATATCATTTCTAAACAAAAATTTTATCTTCATCCAACTATACTACAGATACCCCACTTTTAGAGTTCCTAAAGTCCAAAATAATTAAGTCGTAGTTAATTAGGTAAAAACTTGAGATGAATCTCAAGTTTGGAAAAAAAATATGTTATTTGATTCCCAGTTACCTAAAAGAATCTCCGTTTTCATCAAAAAATGTCTACAATAAATTATTGCAAAGCTTTAATTTTTTTTTACAATGATCTGAGATATTTAATAATAAAAATAAATGCATAAACAAACTTTATATTAATAAAAAAATGTTGATTACTTTTTTTATCTTTTAAACTGATAATGAAAATGTCTTTTACCAAGATTACAGGATATGATCCGTATTTATAAGTGACAAACTTAATGTTTCTAATCCTAAAATTTACGTTTAAATCAAACAAACCTGCTGATTACTTCAATTATTTTGATGAAAACGTAATTACGAATCTCAAGTTTTCCCCTTATTAACTTCAACTTACTTATTTTGGGCTTAAAGCTTATTAAACATGGAAGTTTTTCTAAATGTGGGGTATCTGTGGTGTAGTCGGATAATGATAAAAAAAAAATCGTGAATAATTTTTTATTTCTTTAAACACAGAACTTAGCTTAGTTTAGGTGAAAACAAAATCTTTTATAATTTATGATATTTTTAAAAACTAAACTTAGCTTAGTTTAATCAATCAAAAGTCCTCTATAAACTGTTTTAACAATAGCAAACTCTATTTTCCTTTGAAGTACATTTTGTTTAGTTTTCAGTAAAGTAATTAGTAATTACTTAAATTAAGTATTTTTTCTCGTTATCGCTTTCTATTTAACAAAAAGCGCGAATCACTAAAAAAAAACCCACAAAACTTAAATTTCCTACTTTTGTGCTGAAAATTGAACTGATCTTTATATAAACTATTTTTTAGCTCTTGGTCTGTTTTTACTCCTACAAATATTTCCCTCTACTTACGTGTCCCTTGTATAACTAACTATAAATTATATATTATCTATAACTTATAATATTTATAAGAATTCATAAGTATTTTTTCATATATCTATATCGCCAGATCCGTCACGTTCTCTGTTACTACATTATAGAAGTAATTTGTTTTATCTTTATTTATTGCCGTATCAAATTCTTTTCCATTACCCAATTTATAGATTTTATGCGCTATATATATTATTTTAATTTATTATTATTATAAAATAAATATCTATTTGAATTTACTTTAATCTACTGTTCTAAAGGTGTGCGGTTTTATCGAAAATCAAGCGTTGATCCTTCATTCATTACCTATAGTTCTGTTCTACTGCAGCATTTGTTTTAAGGTATCGTTTCTAAATATATATTTTTGTTGTAGTATTTTGAAACTAATATTTTAGATCTGCTTATATGTTTCTGATCTATAACATATACTTAGGTATGCCTTTTAGACCTGACTGCCTGACTTTTTTTTTCAAGGAATTATGGTGCAGATCCCAAGATGATAATTGTTTGTTGTTAAACTCCATTCTTCAAGTTTGTGAAAGGACGTCATTTGTGAGCTCCCTGACTCCTCCAACGACCGTGATCCTCCTGGAAGACGAGAGGTTTCGTTATATTATCCCGAGAGGGGCTAAGCCAGCGGCGCCCCCTGCCGGCACGACCAGTCCCTACAAGGTCATTGAATTCCGTCCCTTTTGTTTTTATTCGACGCCGGGTGGAACGAGTTCCCTATTTATAGTATTTCCTGTGCGTACCTCACGTTCCCGGTTCGCATTCCCGGCATACCTCCCTTATCCTGATCTCCGCTCCCCACCGTCTCCCGTCCCTCGCGGAATTCAGCTCTCTACTATACTCTCCTCTTAATGTATCTTTAATAACGCTCCTTTCGGGTTCGTCTCTCATCCACTTTGTTATAAATCTGTATGATAAGGAATGTTGATAAAAGTTGTTTCTGACGTTATACGATAAGAAGTGGCGATGTCCTCGAATTGCCCAATGTTACGTGGATCGATTTAGATAACAATGGCATACAAGCAAAAATGTTACTTCCTTGTAGATCCTATTTTAGCCCTTCTACAATACTGTATGAATTCATTATACTCAGGAAAATGATCTTGTCCTTGCTGGACTCAAAGCCGATCTGTGGAATATTTCATAAGTTGCGCTGACGAAGATTCCTTGCACGTAATCAAGTTATAGATATTAAAACATTTAATATCTTCATCTCGATGTGTCAGCCTTCCTCCATTATGAATATTCGTCGCCGGTTAAGAATTCCAATAAAAATTCGCATTCTATTAGCATTAGGCGCGCATTTTATTCTCCTTGATTCTCTGTTAGCTCTTACTAAAATATTATAGGAATATTCCAAACATTCTCCTTTGGAGTTTTGCATGATTTTTTTTAGTCTTAATGATGTATGTCCTGAATTGGCAAACCATCTGAATTTATGGTATTTTAGAGACTCGAGACCCTCTGTTTGGATTGTTCCAATTATATACTATTTATCAATTCATATATCTTTTTTAGTTTTTCTTCTCTTATATTACTTAACTCTTTATTTATTTTCTCTTTCAATCTTCCATTTTAACACATTATTTGGAGTTGACTAATTCGTGATATGAGGAAGAAAATAAATCTAATTTTTCTATATTCGACTATCTCATCATTGATTCTACCGTCACTTGCCAAAGGTCGGCAATCGTTTTCACAAGCTTTGAAAATGTTTGTATGATGCATTGCTGTATCATTCGCATCATCGGTTGCTATTAACTAATTTATTTCTATCGTCATAGTGGTGTAGCGTCATCTGTTAACTGTATCGGGTACATGTTCAGTGGATATTGAAATTACACCAATTAAGATAATTGAGAATTAGATAGCATAGCCATGTCACAAAAGTCTGTTTGTGTAAAAGTGAAAATATTCGGAAGAGAAAACAAACTACGTGATAAAGACAAAGACGTATTGCTACAATTAACTTTTGATTTATATTTCTGAATATGTGCGAGACCATTAACGAGCCAAAAACCTCAAAAGCGTGGTTCCAGTAAAGTTTTTACAGGCGTTTGTGACGTGGCTGTCGAATTGCCTTTTATCTCCGAAAAGTCTTAACGATTCAATCGCTGCGATTTAGAGTATATTTAATATTGTTTATACATTTTTCAAAATCTGGATTTATTATGCGTATAATATCACGCTTAGTGAGGTGCCGCTGGGCACTGCTCCTCCTCATGCCTTTAATGACATTATATTTTGCAATCGACCTCACATTCATTGGTTGTCATTACCATTATGACAGGTTTGGATAAAAAATTAAAGCAAAAAAAAAATATACGTATGGTTCCTTTACCCAATAATACACTATATGGTAAAACTATTGAACGTTTCTGAAGGATATGCATTGCATTCATACTTTTTTTACATTTCAACAAACATCTAATCAAGGGGTCTACGGTAATATATTCTCAACTACACTTATGACAGGTCTGACATATTACTAAGTTTCATCTATTTTTCGTGAAAATAAACAATTTTTTTTCTGTTATAATTTTCTCCCTTGTTTCCTAATCATTTCTGGTCAAAGTATCCCAAAATTGAATCCGTCAAATAAATAGATAAAATAAATGGTTTTCACCCAAAATTCATCACGTCAACACTCAAAAATTTTGATATTGCCGTACCATCAATCATACCAATGATGCGCCATGCCATCCACTTCTGGGTACCCCTGCAGACGATACTCATATTTTTAATATCAAAGAGGCTGCTTTGGTATTTTCACATGCCAATGGAGGTTGTTTATTTTTGTTTAATATCTTAAAAACTTACATTTTATAATAAAAAAGTGTTCTGATTTTTATAAGACTTAAATATTTAAAATTCACAATTTTTATATCAATACATTATATTGGCGTTCCAACGAGGGTTGTCTTTTCACGCCAGGGTAGAGCTCCAGGCGTAAAGCCCATCTCCATCCTGAAGACCCCGGCCAGCCATATCCTCTTCCACTTCATACATCAATCATTTCCTGGGTCGTCCTTGCCATTTTCCCGGCGGTTGCCAATCTAGAATTCGGTTAGACCATCGCTCGGTAGATACTTGGCCGTACCACATCAGGGTTCGCCGTCCAATTCTCTGGTTGACGGACTTAAGAGCCTCAATTCTTTCCCTAATGACCTCGTTCCTAATTCTATTTATTCTTGTCCCACGTAGGCATCTCCTCCAAAAATCATTTCCACTGCTTGTACCTTTGAATAGTGTCAGGATGACATGGTCCAGGTTTCAGCTGTTTACGTTAATATGATGGGTTCTACGATGGAGTGTTATAATATCCTTCGCTTGGTTTTTTTTAGAACTCGTTCCACCAGGCAGGATGAATAATGCGTGTGGCTTTGCGAGCTTGCACCATTTTCCGCCGCACATCAATTTCTGAGGAATGAAGGTAAGATCCCCTATACTAAAACACATCCAGCTTTGTACATGTCTGAGGGTAGACACGAAAATTACCTACGTCCTCAGCGCAGGTGGCCATGTATTCTGTCTTTGAGAAATTCACTCCAAGCTCCACAGACTCATAACAGGTCCATAGTGACCATATCATCCTTTCCAAACACATCTTTTTGCACGCGAATATGACCTGATTATCAGCGAAAAAGGGAGAGATCACCTGTTTGTCTCCGATCCATGGCTCCAGATAACCACACCGACGATACCATTGCTTGACAGATTCCCTTAGATATATCTCGAAAAGGGTCGGCGCCATACTGCAGCCCTATTTCAGATCCGAAGTAACCGAGAAAGGCTCCGTCAGTCGATTTCCAAGCTCCAACCGGTAAAAGTCATCTCAGTAGAGGTGTCTTACTACACCTATTAGGGCTTCGTCGCTGCCAGCCTCTGTTAGTGCTCTCCACAGTTTTGTTCTTGGAACACTGTCATAAACCTGTTCGAGGTCCACCAAAGCTATATGGAGCTCCTCGTCCATTTTCCGGGATTTCTCGATGAGTTGTCGAAGGACAAAGATTTTGTCATTATAGGAACGCTCCGCCGTGAACCCTGCCTACCTGCTCCTCAGGAGTAATGAAAGATTCCTCCAATTCGTCTCGGAGTTGGCTTCCTTTAACTTGGCTTACCGAATACTGTACACAGATACCCCTATAGTTCCGGCACACCTTCCTGTCCATTTTGTTTAGTATAGGTGATATAAAACCTGTCCGGAGATCCTGAGGAACCCTGCCCCCTCTCAGTACCAGATTAATTGTTTCAAGGAGAACATACTTCGCCTTATTACATCCAGTCTTCAGCAATCCCACCGATATCCCACCCGTTCCGAGAACCCTTCCGTTTTTTTTCTTTCACAGCTCCAGACAATTTCTCCATGATCACCATTACGGTAACATGCGGCGTTTTGGTCCTTCTCTACTCTGCAATAAAATAAATTGTATCCGTAGTCAACTGGATTGGAATGTATCAGTAATATAAAAATATTAATAATTATAGTCATGAATGTCCTATTACTACTATTTCAATGGCATTTCATTTTTTCCAAAACGTATCTGGAAAATTGAGGAAATTTCATAAAAATGTTCCAATACATACCCTGATTTAACATGAAATCGCTTGGCTTTAGTTGAAGATTTTAATGAACGTAGATTTTTTTTCTCGAATTTAAACCTATTTTTCTAACACATGAAAACTTTAGAATTCAGGGATCTAAATATAATTTACTATTCTTCGCTCACTTTAAACTATTTAGATGTTTTCGCTGCCGGTAGTAAACATTATGTTGCGTCTTTGAGCCGTTTGGCAAGTCTTGTAAACTTGGCAACATCGTACGCCCAAATATTCATGTCCGGAATTAAGTAAGTATAAATTAAATATATCGCTACCTATTTTAATACTAGATTAATTTTGGTTATTTATATGTGACGGATTATTTGTACGACGCGGGAACATTATTACTCATCGGATTATAATCTATAATGAAGATAAATGAACTCTAAAATTTGCATTTTATCCCGTAGCGATATATCTTACTATAAGAAGGAAGTATGTGGTCAGCATTCGGGACGCGAGATTTTTTTCCCTTGATCTGTTAGTTTTTTAGAATTCTTTCGTCCCCATACATTCCATTCTCTGGGCTACATTTCTTTCTATTTATTTATTTTTAATATGAAAGTGGGTGGTATTTTTAAATAATCGGTAATTAAAGATTTTATAGTTGATTTTCATTTCTTTATACGTATTTGCATTAATTATTTTTTGTTAAAAAACTTCGATAACTTCGATTATATTTAATCCTTTACGCTAAACATTATTTTTTATTTATAAAAATGACAATGCTTATGTCAATTTTAAGTTGGTTGCGCTGTCGATGAGCTTGGCAAGGAAGGAAGCGCTCTTACAATCATCACTCCTTGGTATAGATCTCTTTTCATCAAACTATTAACATCCGTCTAAAACTTCGTTAATGGCTTCATATTATCGGAAACTACAAATTTTTTATTTGCACAAATTCTCAGAAATGGAGCGTTTTCTCATTAAAATAATTATTTTAATGAGGTGTTAAAACCCCGTAAATATCCGTGTACTTACCACTTGAATCTTAAGATAATTTTATCACAAAGTCGGAAGAAAACGAAAAAGAAAAGAAAAGAAAAGAAAAAATGGTGGTATACAAAAATATTGGACCATTTGGCCTATATAACCTCGTTATTTTGACAAGTTAGGGTTGGAGGTGGTGGTCACGCTAAACGGCACAATAATTTTGTTAGCCACCTTTATTCTCGATTGGTGTTCTTGAGTTTTTAATAAAGGGTTCTGTTCGAATTCAGAAGTTTTATGTTTATGAATATTAATTAATT